TATTTATATTTTTATTCTTGATATTATCTTGGATAAATTATCTTGGATATTATTTTCACAACTATAATATCTCGTTCAATGTTTCTTTGCTTTATCCTTTTTTTCATATACATTTTGGAATCACCCTGTCCCCCCACCTCCGCCCCTACACCCCTCTCTCTCCGTAAACTTCTATCATCATGAGTGAATCTATTGTGTTCTTTGTAAGAATATGAAAAAATTCCATGAAATAATTGAACCGAATAAAATTTTCGAATAAACGATTTTATACGTAAAATATTAAATTTTGTTTTGCTCATTCTTTTAATCAAAAAAAAAAAAAAAAAAAAAAAAAAAAAAAGAAAAGGAGAAAAAAAAACAGAAAAAAAGGTATTATACCTTTGTTATCTTTTATCCCTTTGTCGATCCACATAATTAATTACATCAACTAACGTACCGTGATCACATTGTTTCAGAGTAATTGTTCGATCATGGAATATGTTCGAGATAATACGCATATTGTACGCGCGCGTGAGACTATATATATGTATATATACGTATCCTACACACATATATATATATATATATATATATATATATATATATATGTATACATACATGATAAAGGAAAACAGGGACAACGATGCCATTGATAAGCAGACGTAAGCGCGCATGTTCAAAAACGTTGTTGACCCTACAAAAGCGGAGGTAACCAATTAAAGCTCAAGAGCAACGCAACTCTACTCGAGTCGGTTTAAGTGGCTTAGATCGCTGGCTCGACGATGTGTCCCAGGATTTTCTTCTAAATCATCTCTCTCTCTCTCTCTCTCTCTCTCTCCCTCTCTCTTTTTCCCTCTTTTTCTTTTTTCTTCTCTCTTTTTTTCCTCTCTCTCTCTCTCTCTCTCTTCCTCTCTCTTTTTCCCTCTCTCTCTCTCTCTCTTTTATAATCTATCTATCTATTTATCTCTTTATATATTATCTCAACAAAGATATATTATAATAATTATATTCTATAGGAAAATTCAATATATTGTTATTATTACACATATATACACACACACACACACACACATGCATGCATGCATACATACACAAACATATCAAATTAACGAGACAATAATCTTATAATACATTCGACAGTTTCTCTTTTGTATATTATACACACACAGACATATGTTTTATATATATATATATATATATATATATATATATATATATGGAATGATTTTTGAAATAATTAAAATTTTATAATATATTTAATATAAGTTTATATATTGATCGTAATATATTATAATATTACGATGTAATATTACTGACTACCCTATTTATCATTCATATTAAATGACAAAATAATTTAATACAATTTTTTTTTTTTTTTTTTTTTGTTTTGTTTTCGTTCAAACAAACAGATTGACAGATGCAGTTATCGTATGTATTTTTATGTGAATAAAAGAACAGAAAAAAAAAAGAAAAACGAAAAGAACAAAAAAAAAAAAACAAAAGGAAAGAAGAAAAGAAAAGAATAAAGTAAATTAAATTCAATATATTAAGCTTGTAATATATTATGAAGAAAATTATCAGAGATCGAAGTTTCGCCTCTCGGGCAAATCTCTGCGTGTGTGTAAAGCTCGATGTCTCAACGCGAACAAGAATATCGTCTGGAAAATAATGCTCGAGGCTAAACGAAAGGACAAGGTTCTTTATTAACGCGGAATATTCATAAAGTTTGCATTAACGGTGCTATTGTGAAACTAAGTACTTTCTTTTCTCTTCCTTTCCTCTTCTCTCTCTCTCTCACTCTCTCTCTCTCTCTCTCTCTCTCTCTCTTTCTCTGTCACTTTCTCCAATTCTCATTTTCTTCCTTTATTCAAATTATTTTCATTTACATTATTAATACGTTACATTGTCCTCAGTAAGTTCTTGTACTCTTAGTTATTTAAATTATTAGTTTGGATGTATACGTGTATGTGTACGTGTACATGTGTGTATGTGTGTTGTGTGCGTGCGCGCGTGTATGTGTGTGTGTGTGTGTATTTATTCATTTCTTATATACATATTTAGTTAATTCTATCATATATAATGATATATGTGATGAATAATTTTTTTTTACGTGCCTTTCCTTTTTTTCTTTTGCTTTTTTCCTTTTTCATTTATTTCGTTTTATTTTATTTTATTTTATTCTTTTTTTTTTCTTTTTTTTTTTCTTTTTTTTTTTTTTTTTTTCTTCAAATTTATTTCCTTAAACTTTTACGTGATCATCATGTAAATAACATTTATATTTATACTCAATCGTCATGATACGTCATAGTAATTTAATAGAATCCGATATATATATATATCGATTAATATCTTGTTTTCATTATTTCTTCTTTCATATTCTTCTAAAGTCATTATATTTATATATATATATACGATCCTCTCATTTTTGACAACACATTTATTACTGTTATTATTATATTAATCCTTTTTTACTAGTTCTCCTTTACAACGAAACTTTTGTTCCGTAGATAAATAAATATTATTTCCTCCATTTTACTCTCTCTCTCTCTCCCTCTCTCTCTCTCTGTCTCTCTCTCTCTGTCTCTCGTTTGATATTTTCGCGTATATCCAAGTGTTTCCATGTAACCTGGCTTTTCATAACAAGAGTATCGCAACATACTGTTGACGTGTGGACATTCGTCACTCGAATAACTCTCTTTCTCTCTCTCTCTCTCTCACGAAAAAAAAAAAGAAAAAAAAATATATCTGTTGGACCGTAACTTGGATGAAGTTTAAAGGACGATGAGAGAGAGAGAGAGAAAGGACAACGGAAAAAAGTACATACACTTGTGTCGTAATAAAATACTATCCAGTGTCGTAATGATAACACTACTCTTGTCAAGTTCTTATTATCACGTAGATGTAAGAGTATAAAAAAAAAAATATACCTCAACATTTCTCCTTTTTTCACCTTCACATTTTCTTTCTTTCTATTTCTTTTTTTTTTTTTCTTTCTTTGCATGAGGTACATTAGGAATACATTTTTTTCCCTCCTCCCTATCTTCAATACTTTTTACCTATGATACCTATATCTTTATACACTCGTAATCTAACTTGTTTTTTTTTTTTTTTTTTTTCTTCACTATCCGATCCAATTTATCTGTGAATTTTCTTTTTATCGTCGTCATTCAAGTTTATTTCTTTTCAATTATATTTTTATTTTTATTTATTTCTTTTTTATTTTTTCTTTTTTCTTTTTTTTTTTTATCAAATTTCTTTTTTCTCCCCTACCTCGAACCTGATCAATAGCCTGACAAATTTTATTTATTCTTCTTTCTATCTCTCTTTTCTTGGTTTTCTATCTTCCTTTTTTTTTTTTTTTTTTTTTTTTTTTTTTTTTTTTTTTTTTTTTTTCTCTCGTTCGATACAATCTCAGGATCGTTTTCGTATATCTTCCTCCCATCTCCCGACTATAATACTCGCGAACCGAGAAAAATGATTTATCGAGGTTCAGAAACGCAGTCCGATAATCACGTAACCGAGCGTATACTAGGTACATAGTTTCCTTATAGCTAGGAAAAACGCGTCAACGTCAGACTAATGCGGCTCGTAAACAACCGCGTTAAATATTCTCGAATTCATTTACGTGTCTCTTATTTAAACCACTTAGCTATTATTATATATAAATAAATAAATAAATAAATATATATATATATATATATGTATATACTTTCTTATTTCGACGATATAAATTAATCATTAAGATTTTACGAATTGAATGGTAACGATATAATTAATTATATTATAGGAGTATCGTTAATCCATCAAAACGATGATAAATTATTCTTCGATAATTTACAATTAAATAATAAAAATACAATTATTCCAGGCGTTTGAATATTTTACGTACATAATCTAAAATATTATTATCGTCTAATATACATGAAATATAATATATTATATTAATTTAATCGAGCAAGAAGAACGGTTCATTTAAGATTGTAAAAGTGTTTTAGGCTAGTAAAGGTTCGTAAGTTCGAGCGTTAATACAGTCAAAAAGGAATGAGAGAGAGAGAGAGAGAGAGAGAGAAAGAGAGAGAAATTCGTATACCATTTAAGGAGTTTCCAAGAGTACCTAACGAAAGTGTGTAAAAGGATGTAACGTAAATCTCTCTCTCCCTCTCTCTCTCTCTCTCTCTCTCTCCTTCTCTATCTTTATCTATCTATCTCTTTCACTCTTAACTACATATATTTAAGAACGTTAGAAGTAGTAAGGTCGACCTCATCGTAAAAGAGAGAACTTCTAAGGAAAGAGACCAGTTTAAGTAGAAGTTATCGGAGTAGAAGCTTCGCGCTCTGGTATAGCTAACGCTTACCCTACAGTTTGATTATGCATATGTAGTTGTATAGTATTATAACGCTCGTTTCTCTCTCACGATGAGGTAGAAAGCGCGTTGTGTAGTATCTACTAATACTATCTCCTTCTTGCTGTGTATTCGCTCGGGGGCAGACGGTTAGCTCCTTCAAAATTAATTTCAAACGATGCGGATCTCTACATGGTTTCCTACCACCACCCCCGTAACACCCTCTTCCTCATCCTCCTTCACTTTCTCCTATTCCTATCTCGTAACTCATACGCATACACATACATACACACACACACACACACACATACATATCCCTCCTCTGTCATTTGTCGACTCCGTACGTCGGTCGGGTCGTTCAAATGTCACGACGTATTCGTTCCGAGCAATATAATAGCTGTCATATCGATTTTTGCTTATGTTATAAGAAGAATCGTTCTCTCTATCTCTCTCTCTCTCTATCTCTCTCTCTCCCTCTCTCTCTTTCTGTTTAGTACGCATATTCTGTTTGCAGAAATGAAACAAGAGCAACGAGTTATGTACATAAGTAGATGGATACGTATAACAATGATAGTAGTAAATTTGTATACATTAATATATATGTTTGTGTATATAGAAGAATGATATATGTTTTTGATTACGTTAGAGTCGTATAAAAAATCATGAGATACTACGTACCTGAGTGAAAAAGTAATAGTAGACCTTCATTCCCCGATCGGCGAATAGTTGAGCGAAATGTATCGATGGGCATATGAAGAAATAATCACCGACTACGTCGGCTATCATCTTTTGATAGAGATAACCGTCCTTTAATTGTTCCCAATCGGTGTACTGTAATTAGAAGAAGAAGAAAAAAATGATATTATTAATTTACAAAAAAAAAATATATATAGGTTTTAATCTTAAATCTTTAATCTTATATCTTTCAATCTTAAACCTTAATCGTCCTTTTTCTTTTTTGTTTTTTTTGTTTTTTTTTTTTTTCTTTTTTCTTTTATTCGTTTAAGTGTGTCGAATTTTGTTTTCCTTTCCTTTTTCTTTCTTCTCGTTTTAATATGAAAAAAAGAAAATAACGAAGGACAAATTCGTCGATGATTGCCGATACATAGATTAGTCTGTTAATAGGAATTATATCTGCAAAATTTTCACTTGAGCAATCACTTGATAATCAAGCGCTTCGTCATTTAGAATTATGCGAATTCGATGATTCGAACGAACGAAGAGATCGAATTTTATTACGAATTAACGTTCCATTGTTTTTACCCCAACCCTATCATACCGCCCCCTTTAATACTATTGTCAACAAACGAACGACGTTAGGGAAGATCACACAAGAGAGATGTCAAACAATCAAACAACAGCAACGATCGATTTCTGATCGTAATATAACAACGTCAAATTAATTCGATCGAAAATAATATTAATAATAATAATAATAATAATAATAATAATAATAATAATAATAATAATAATAATTAAATACTCTTAATAGTTATTTTAGGCGAGACAATTTTAATAAATAATTTTTTTCTCGTTAGAAATGCAATCAATTTGTTAGCGAGTATGATTAAACTTTTTTTTCTTTCTTTTTTTTTTTTTCTTTTTCTTTTTCATTTATACGCCATACGATTATACGATTTTAAACGATTTTAAATGAAGAAAAGAACAGAAAAAAAATAGGAGAACAAACTATGTGCGTGTGTGTGTGTGTGTGTGTGTGTATTGTATGCTCGTTCTCTTTATCATAGCCATACTTGCATATATATATATATATGTATATATATATGTATGTACATATTAAATTCACTTCATATCTTGGAGCTTCTTCATCCAACAGGAAGGATATGATAAAACGATGCACGCTTCAATGGATAGGTTAGAAAACTGTGACCCTCTGTGTACATTAATCTTAGACTTGGCAAGCATTCAAGAAAATCTCTCCTCGGATGATCCCGCTTATGTGAAGTAGTCGTTCAACGTTCGAAAATCATTCCAAGTTGATCTCAAGTATCCCTTTTAAAAGCGTATCATTCTTTTCAAGACGATTAAAAAAGAAGACTTTTACGATTTACTATTACGAGAGAAAGAGAAAGATAGAAAAGGAGAACTAGAGATAGAGATAGAGAAAGAGAAAATTACGTTATTGATTATTTCAAAATTTACGATATAAAATTCTTCGTTTAATATCTCGTAGTAATTAAATGAGAAAAAGGTGTTATTTGGATGCAAAAAAAAAAGAAGAAAAAAAAAAAGAAAAAGAAATGATTATTGTACACATGCTCACTGAGTTTATTAATAGTTATATGTTTTTATTAAGTCATATATATATATATATATAAAAAAAAAAAATACAAGTATTCACACTTGTTATTGTACTGATAAATATAGTAATCTTTGAAAAAATTGAAATGCACTCGTAAAAATACTCGCGTATGTAACTGTTCTTTTTTTTTTTCTTTTCTTTTCTTTTTTTTTTTTTTTTTTTTTCTTTTTTTATATCTGACCATCGTCGTCATTGTTATTGTCGTTGATGTCGTTGTTGTTGTTTGATAAAAATTCAATGAAAATGTTTGACAACGTTGTTTCCACGATATACGAAGTTCAATGACTATCATCTCCTCGAAAGAGCCATGGTTAAGAGAAAATAATGGAAACCTGAGAAGACGAGAAGAGGAAAGGGTTCGTGAGCCACTTCAAAGCTGTTCCGAGATAATGTTACGTTTCTCCTTAACTCCTGTGTCGCGAGACTTTGTCTATATACATACATATATATATATATATATATATATATATATATATATATTTACATGTGTGTATGTGTGTGTGTGTATCTATGTATATATATATATATATATATATATATATATATACATATGTATATAGACTCATGGCTCGTAAGTACTTTGTGTGGGCGGAGTAAAGGGAAACAAACTCGAAATTAAGCGGTTTTGTCTTGAATGCTACCCGTATACGCCCGAAACTCGGTTTGTTACGAACGGGCATAACACCGTATCCCTTTACAAAAGCTTTCTATCGCATACGGACACCTTGGATTAGCGCGAAACGTTTAATTGCACTCGCGAGTGCGTGTAATTATTTCGTCAGGTTAATCAAACATAATAATAATAATAATAATAATAATAATAATAATAATAATAATAATAATAATAATAATAATAATAATAATAATAATAATAATAATAATAATTATAATAATGATTGTAATAATGGCGAACGTAAATATATGACAGTCGAATCGGTATTGAATCGAATAGAATGCATAGTAATCACTTTGGGATTACGAATGATCGAGGATAAGATTAAAAAAATAAAAAAGATAATAATAATAATGATAAAAGAAAATCAGAAGTGAAGCAAAATAAGACGAAATGAAAGAATATTATTGCTCATATATTTTTTCTTTCTTCTTTTTTTTTTTTTTTTTTCAATTTAATACAATATCTTTTCATAATGATGATGATGATGATGATAATAATAATAATAATAATTTTTCACTCGTATTTGTTGACAAGGATGAAATTTCTTCTTTTCTTTTTTTTTCTTCTTTTTTCTTTTTTTTTTCATACAACAATGAATTCGAAATTCTTGGAAGAGAATGCAGTATTTTTTTTTTTTTTCTTTTTCTTTTTATTTTTATTTTTCCAAGTAATCTTGAAGTATTTTACGCGTACGTGTTAAAACACTTGAACGATGTTAAACACCACTTCTCCAGTGAAATTTGATTAAGTTGCATGGGATGTTCTTTCTTCTATTTTTTGTTCTTTTTATATATATATATATATTTTGTTTTTTTCTCCTTTTTTTTTTGGAAAGAAACGATCCTCACGCACTGCAGAAAAACTCGTAATATGATCGAAATTCAGAAGCGAAGAATCACGAAAAATACGGACTTCATTCGAAATTTATTTCCTCAAGGATAACCTGTCCTTGACCTACTCTACTCGAAACGAGAAGATCCATTTGAGATTCGCGAACGACAAAGTATAAGGTACACTTCTATATATCTAGTTCCTTAGGCGTCTCCAAAGTTATTCTCGACTTTCTATGAGCCATCTTTCGTTACGTCCATTTGAAATAATTAATGACTTCGATAGAGGGATGTCCGAATTCAATGTGGCAGTAAACTTTACATACATCGGTAGAATAAACTTTTGAGGAAATGAAATGGTTAGCAAATATATATATATATATATATATATATATATATATATATTATTATTATTACGTAGCTTATACATACACGCGTATACGTACACATAAATAGAATAATTATAATGGACGAATAATTGTTAAGATATTTAAAGTGAAATTGATAAATTTTCATTATATATCTACGATGTAATCGAGCGATCACGATTAGATTAGATATTTAATTACGGTAAAATCATGAGAATGATTTTGATCCTCGAATAAATTGAATATTTAAGGGTGTCACGTTTAAAGGATAACTAAAAGACGATTATTAATTTCAATTTCCCGTCTACGTAATGGTATAATAATACACTATGGCTAATTTTCATTGGTTAAAACCACTTGGAGGTGCCTTAAGCCGTGGTTTAAAGTCAAGCATGTGGTTGGTTAGCTTATCGACTAAACTCTCACTGTGAAAGCATCATTCTTTACGGCTTTAGGTTCATTTTCAGAGAGTACAGATCGAGAGATAAGCCCCGCTTTAATCTTGACATCATCCGAGTTCCTGGCATCGTCCTCTTCATCACCCCTTCAACCCTCTCTTCAACCCTCTCTTCAACATATCTATGTCTATACTTATGTATGTAATATATATACTTCTTCTTCCTTCTTCTTCTTCTTCTTCTTCTTCTAATCGTATTCACTACGTTCACATACCTTACGACGTCGAACTTATTCGAACGAGTTTCATTGTATACGTATTCTTTGTTTATATTTATTTATTTATTTATTTACTTATTTTTTTTTCTTTTTTTTTTTCTTTCTTTTTTTTTTTGATTTGAATTTTTTTTCATAAAATTCCTTTTGAAGAACGTTAAATCAACGTAGGATTAATGATCGATTAATTCGTCTCAATTGTTACCTTGAAAATACGTCTAACGAGTGTTCGCTATAATTTTTTTTAACTTCTTTTTTTTTTCTTCATTTCGTTTTATTTATTTTTCTTTTTCTTTTTTTTTTTTTTTCCTTTCCCAGTCAATTCTCATATAATTAAACTTTAGATGGCTTATCGATCGTTGAAATAAAAAAAAAAAAAGTAAGAAAAAAAAAAGAAAAACAGAGCGAGAGAGAGAGAGAGAGAGAGAAAGAAAACAGAAGAAAAAAGATACAGAAAAGATGAAAAAAAAAAAAAAAAAAGAAAAACGAAAGGAAAGGAAACTAAAAAGAAAAAAACGAGAACTCGTTTCGCAAAAGAGTAAGATCTTCGATTTTCTTTCGTAACGACGAACACACTCTCTTTTCCGATGGTAAAGGACTTTGAAAAAAACTTTTACCTACTTTAACGTCTTATCGTTGAAAGATTCTCTCTCTCTCTCTCTCTCTCTCTCTCTCTCTCTCTATCTCTCTGTCTCTCTTTCTCTCTCTTTAGGTTGGCAATTAAATTGAGTTTCGAACTATGATTTTATATGGCTTCAAAATGTAAGATTATTTCAAGCGGAAGCCAAAAATCTTACACGAACTATTAAACTAGGTAATACCACGACGACGAAGTTCCTCGGATAAATCTCCGTTTACCTTCTAAAAAGGATTTTTAGAAATTTACATTTTCTTTTTGATTTCATGCAAGATCATTCGGCCGTAAACTTATACCATATGAAAATTGTATTCCCGTCGAATGT